TTTTTAGTTTCGTTTAGTTTAGATCTTCCCTCTTTTTTTAGTTTTTTTTTTATTTTATATTTGTTTTTTTTTTTGTTTTTCGTTGGTAGTTCTTCTACCTAGGAGGCTAGAAAAAGAAGGTTCGGAAAGAAGGTGGTCATGATGGGCTGGTGAACCAGATTAGTGATCTGGAGACGGGTTGGTTGAAACGAAGTAAGCCGAACCTAACCGGGGAGATTGAACTCATTTTTGGCAGATCGCACATAGGTCCAATTGGAAACCAGATAAGCCACATTCCAGATTTTTTGCTATAAGGCATAATGTAATTCGAACAAATCCTTCGGGAAATGTAGTACTTCATTAATAAAGCAGGTATATGACATGGCTGTCAAATTTAAAAAAAAAAAATTTAATCTGTATAATATATATATACAAGCAACTCTCCCTGACAATCACTCATATCAAATTTTCTCACTGAACAGAAACAAAAATTTTGCTAAAGTAGTTGACATGACTATCAGACAGTTCTTGCAAAGGTCAATATTTTTCTTGAAGGACTCTTTTGGCATATTTGGCATGCAAGCCAAAAGTATTAGAATACAAGATAACTGGCAAAAAGGTGATGTCTTTGTATACAAAATTTTAGTGATAAGAGCCTGGAGAAAGGGGTCTTTTTATCAACAAAGTAACTAAGAGACAACAAAGAAAAGAGGAACAACAAATGAGTTTTTTAACATGCTTCTTGGAAAATTTAGAGTACCTGTTTCTGACAAATATCATATCTTTTATTATATTTTTACAGTTTTGGAATTTTTTTAGAAATTTTAGCCAAAAAGTGAAAAAATCAGTATACCTCTTCAAAAGATCAGCAGTATTTACTCTTTTTAAATTAGGATATATCTACCAAAATGAAACTTCTCACGAGCTTATTTGGATTCTGCTTTGCTAAATAAACAATGACGACAATATAGAGGATCAGAGGGATCATGTGTAAAAATTTCTTAATGTTAGATGTTTTTTTTCTTTCTACTTCTTTTAGTATATATAGTATTAGATTAGATTTTTTCTATGCAACATTATATAATTTTTATAGCCTAACACAGGCAATAATAGTGTCATTATAACCATCTTTTTTCCAGCCTTTTTCTTCTTGTTTCCTTTCTATTTTGTTTGCTTTTTTTAGTTTAGTTTAGTTTAGACTTTTTTCTTTTTGGTTTTTTTTTTATTTTGTATTTGTTTTTTTTTCTTTTGTTTTTCATTGGTAGATCTTCTATCTAAGAGGCTAGCAAAAAAAGGTTGGGAAAAAAGGCAGTCATGATAAGTTAGTGAACCAGATCAGTGATCTGAAGATGGGTCAGTTGAAGTAAAGTAAGCCAAATCTAATCAGGGAGATTGAACTCATCTTTAGCAGATCGCACATAGATCCAATTGGAAACTGGATAAGCCACATTCCAAATTTTTTACCGTAAGGTATAATATAATTTGGACAAATTCTTTAGGAAATATAGTACTTTATCAATAAAGCAGGCATGTGATATAGCTATCAAAAAAAAAAATATTTAATTTGTATAACTAGAAATTAATATATATTAATTATTAAAATTTTGTAAATTTAAACTTCTGATAACTTATTATTCTTATTATTCGCTACAAATTAATTTCTCAAAATTAAATTTATTAAAATACTATTATACTGAAGTTATAATGCAAACATTTTATTTACTAACAAGACATAATTTTAATAGTTTAATTTTACTAAAATATTATTTAATTGACAATAAATTTTACTGATAAGTTATTTATCTGCAATTTTTATTTTACCAAATATTAAAAAAGTGAATATTTATTTTATTAATATACTATTTTTCCAAATAGTATATTTTTCTAATATTTTACAGTATTTTACTAAATTTATAGCTATTTTTTATAAATTCTAAATTGATTTTTTGTTACATAATTAAAACAAATTTTATATATAATTACATCTCTATATAATCTTGAAATTTATTATACTCAAAAGTGTAATTATAAAGAGAAAAGACTATATAGAGTGTCAAAAGTAGAAACCAGGGAATTTGGCTAATCACAGGTTTTGAGAAAATCGGCAAAAACTATTTTGTTATACAAAATCAAAACAATCTAAAAATAGTTTATTCAATATTAACAAACCTGTTTAAACAGGATTATTAGATCTGTAGATCACTATCATACTAACATTTGCAATAGTAAATCTATTTTTAGATTATGGTGTCAAAAGCTTTTAACTATTGTATCGCAAAAATTTATTAAGTTAGGCTATACAAACTTAATAAATCGGTTCTTATAACATAAAATTTTTAAAAGTAACCCAGCAACCCAGCTTTTAATTTTATTTTTAAAAAATTTTATATATAAAAAACATATAAAATTTTTTTAGATTTTTTTTAAGAAACTCACCCGGATAGTAAATATACTTGAAATTTTTTTTTAGAGTTTTGGAAATTTTGACCTGGCCGGGTTATAAGAACCGATTTATTAAGTTTGTATAGTCTTATCAGACTATCATTATTAAGTAAAAAGATTGGGCTTTAAATTTTACACCTGATTAATCAAACAGATTAATTTTCAAAAAATTTCCAAATTTCTTGGTTTCTACTTTTGATGCTCCATATAGATAGCCCAGAAGGATTGGTCTGCCCAGACCCGAGTTTCCCAGGCTCAAGTCTGAAGGTCTCCTGATTCTTGGTCCACAATTTTGTAACATGTGACCTTTTCCTCCGAATGACCCGGTGGTCTAGTTGGTAGATCCCTTTTGCCTATAAGATCTTTTGTTGCACAACTTCTCCAATTTTTGGGGTCCAGTCGGATCTGTTCTGTAGTACAAGTAACACCTGGTCAGAACAGTCTGCTACTTCCTTAATCAGGATTTGCCAAGCTGGTTTTGGTTCTCTCAGGCTACCATAAGTAGGTTTTAATAAGATTGATCAGGATGCCTTATCATAGGTTTGCACTGCCTATACTGGTTTGCATTTCTTTGTACAATAACACAAATGCATCTATGTCTCCCAGCACCAACTTGGGCGTTGGTGTGCCCTGGTTTACAGATATATGATTCCAGCCCAATTTAGAAGAACCATTACCATAACACAAGTAAATTATTCAAAACATCACCAGTGGGATTCGAACTTAGTACTATAGCCAGCAAACTTGGGGTGCAACAACTCTACCACTTCGCTATGTCGCCACACCCTTATAAATTTAACTTTTATAAATACAATATTTTTCTAAATATATATTTTTGGTTTGGCTATAAGAAATCATTAGTGCTAAATATATATTTACTTAAAAAATTTTCTATATTACTTTAAATGCATGCAGCCAATCAGAGTCAGTATTCAAGTTGTATTATACAAGCCTGCAAATTAAATATTAAAAGCTGCAATTTGATTGGCTCTCTTTAAATACAACTTACTCTAAATACATGATAAAGGTTAGTCTATATATATTGCATTTAGAAAGATTTAATTATATCTCTTCTTGGTTTATGTTATCCTGAATATTATAGCTTAATATTTGGCTATATTTGACAAACCTATAATTATGGCATAGTACTGCCTTGATATTTTAAATTGATTTTTACAAAATACAAAATATTTAATATTTCAATTTAATACAATAAGTAAAAATTATATTATATTTATTTATTTATTTTTTTTATGTTTAATACTAATTAAAAATTTTTCATTTATAAGAATTAATAATAAAAAACACAGTTATTAAAAGTATTATGGTAGGGTGTAGCAACATAGCATAGTGGTGGAGTTGTTGCACCCCCAAGTTTGTTGGCTATAGTACTGAGTTCGAATTCTACTGGTAACGTTTCGAATAATTTACTTGTGTCATAGTAACAGCTTATTCTAAATTGGGCTGGGTTTTATACCTGTAAACTAGAGCACACCAACGCTCCGAGTTGGCACTGGGAGACGTAGAAGCATTTGTGTCATTGCACAAAGAAATACAAACCGGTATAGATAGTGCAAATCCATGATAAGCCTTCCAGGATCAACGCATATTAAAGACCTATACATAGTAGTCTAAGAGAACTAAAACTGGCTTGGCAAATCCTGATTAAGGAAGTAGCAGACTGTTCTAACCAGGTGTTACCTGATACTACAGGACAGATCCGACTAGACCCCAAAAATAGAGGAGTGTTGCAACAAAAATCTTATAAGCAAGAGGGATCTACCAACCAGGCTGGCAGGTCATCTAAAGGAAAAGATCACATGTTATGAAATTGTTGACTACAGATCGGGAGACCTTTAGACTTGAGCCTGGGAAACTCAGGTCTGGGCAAACCAATCCTTCTGGGCTATCTGGATTGGGAGAACAACAATACCAAAAGGAGTAAAGTGTGGAAAGTGATAGAATATAGTACAGGGGTTTGTGAACCTTAAAAGGGTAGAGTAGGTAATGGTAGGAGTTTAATAGTTACGCCCTGACCCCAAGTACATGAATTAAAGCATGGCGTAAGTTACTGAAGTCTAGATGAATACATATATGGGAATATACCACTCTGGTGGGTTTACCTCGAGGATAAATTAGAACATACGGTCCCATTCTAAGTCTGGCTATTAATCTAGTAGTGTTGCATAGATCCATGTGCCCTGGTGAGTGCATGGTGAGGTTACATCCGGGTCTTAAGTCCCACATGGTGGAAGTAAGGATATGATCAGAGAGTTTAAATGGGTACCCCCCTAGTTGGAGTGCAGATATAGCAGATAGTGTAGAACCTTCGGGCGGACTACTTAAATTAGGCACTCAAAAGGTGCACGTGTGGCTATATGTACTCTCATTGTATACCGAAATAAAACTTAATGATAATAAATCGCCATTAACAAAGAGGTTACCTTTAATACAGAAAAAAAAAAAATTAAAAGTATTCTGGCAAAAAATTTTTTAGCAAATTCCTTATTTTGAGGGCTTTGAGTTTTATTACATTTTTGTACACTTTTATAATTAAATTTAATTTTGTCTAACACATTTCATTGTAGCTTATTGGTGCTAGTTGCTTTGGGTAATTTATTATTAGTAGTTGCTTCTAGTAGTTCATCTTCATCAGTAGTAGAATCTAGTAGTTTTTCAGTATTAGCTAGCAATACTTTAAGGTTATCTATATTATTTACAAGTGATAATGTTAAACTTGCCTAACTAATTAAAGAATTTGCTACAACAAAGCTACTATTTTGTTCAAAAGACTTCACTCAATTTGATTATAATATTTCATTTTTTGAAATAAAAAAAATCAAACATATTAAATAAAATTAATTTATTAAAAAGACTTAAATTATTTTAGTTCTTGATAGAGCTAACAAGATCTTCCAACCCATATATAAGTTAGTACAATAAGTTACATCTGGGTATACATGATGTAGTCAGGTAATGCTAGATTTGTAATTATTAATTAGATATTTTTAAAAATCTTTAAATAATATTTTTAGTTTAGTAGTAATATAATTTGTATTTGAGCACTAACAAAACTGTCAAAGAATTAAAAAAAAAATTGACAAATCATAATTAAAAAAAATATTTTTAAATTGAACTTTCTTATTGTTCAAAAGTGGCAGTGCTCTAAAAAAAATATTGAGGCCTTCTTGTTGTATAGTGGTCTTTGGTCATTCGTAGATGGCCAAACCCTTTTGCAATTTATGTCTCATAATTGATATAATTACTGTATCTGAATATTCAAGTTCTTTTAAAACTTAAATCATGATTTTTCTTTCTAAATAGTTAGATATATTGCAGATGCCAAATTGTATATCTGTTAATTTACAAATGATCCAAAAAATTTCTATAATTTTCATTCGCCAAATACGCATCTATAGAACCACTGACCACTAAATTTAACTTGTAAATAAAAGAGTTAATATTAGAAAAAAGAAAGCCAAATACAAGCAATAAAAAAAACTAATTTTTATTTGTATTTGCCAGAATTAGTTTTAAATAAAGATTTGCCACCTTTGTAACTGGATACTTACTGAAATAGAATTCATAGTTGTCAATTATGCTTTTGATATTGGGAAGACTAAGGCTATGCAAAATTAATTAATTGATTTTCATAATTTGGCCAGGTCAAAATTTGAAAGCTTCAAAAAAAGTTTTTTATATAGTTTAATAACCAGATAGGTTTTAAAAAAAAATTTCATAAAAAAAAAGCTAACCGGCCAGATTTATTTAAAAATTTCATGTTATAAAAACAGTAATTAAATTTGTATAGTCTAATAACCTCTGCTTTTCTATTGTATTTACCAAGACTTTGTTGATTTGTTTTTAATCTAAATTGTTTTATATTAATTTCTCAAAAAACCTCTTTATGAAGCTATCTATTCAAAGATCTTTATGTTTATCACTCCACAAAGCTAAAAGAATTGAATTATAAAAAAAACACATTACAATAACTCTTTTGAATTGTTATATTGCATAATATAGTAGAAGAGAATTTGCTCAACTTCTTGCAATGTTAATTCATTTGAACCAGAGTATTTACTCAAACCTTTCACTAAGAGATTTTCCAAATTACTCTTAACAATAGTGATTAAATCAAAATAGACCTTTAGGTTAAAAATCTTTATAGGCTTTGGCATTACCAAATGTTGGTTTAAGTGATGTTAAAGTGCAACTATACAATTCTAAACTGAACTCACACAGTATTCAATATCATCTTTTTATTCATTGTACAAATTAATCATAATAGCTGATCTTTGAGAACCTCTTTCTTCAATTTTACTCTTATAACACAGGTAGAAAAAAGGCAAATCAGTATATTTACTGATTTTAGATAAATTAACAAATAGACATCAATAGGCATGCTGATTTGA